CTGTGCGTACCCCTAGACACTCCCCTTATGCTGCCCTACAAGATCTCTCGCATCGGGTTCAAACTGTCTTTTGCAAGCCATCCGCCATGGCGGGTGGGTGAAAGACCCGAGCTAACATGGGGGTAGCTCGTTAAATTACCATAAAGCCTCATGCAGTTTGCAGCAAGCTCTTGAATCTGCCTGGTGATTGGGGTGACCGAGGTCATGGCCTGGGACCCTGGATACCTGAGTTTTCTGGGGGTCTAACAATTTAAACCCCTGTGGCCTTTAAGTATCTGAAAGGGACTTGACCCATGAGTGTTGTACATGTTCAGTCCACAAGAATAAAATGGCTTCCTTCTCTGAGTTTGGAGCATATCACCACTGGGGTGCCAAGTTTCTGTGGACAGGGACCCCTGACCTGAGGGGACATCTGCATTCCCAGCCTATCCCAGCATGCTTTAAGCCAGGTATACATTCTGTCAATCATGAAATGAAGCCGGCATATTCCCCCCTGGCCCCTCAGCATTGCCTGGCCTAGTCATAGGCTAGATAAGTCATGCCCTTTTCATGAATCTTGCTTTTTTGTCAGTCAGAGACAGGCTACATGTGCCCAACAGAGAGAGCTACACATGAGAGAACTTTGAAGAGACTGAGGGAGAAAATAAACTACAGAATTATAAGTGTGCCCAATCTCACTTATAATTAGTGAGGTGGAAAATAAAGAGTAAAGATACCCCACTGCTCACTGGTAGGAGGAAAACATAGGAACAATATGGAATACAAGGAGCAGGGGCTCAGGCACTGGCAGTGTTGCAAACTGGAGGTGGCTATTTTCGAGGGCAATTGAACAGTCCCTTACAGGTTACAATCAGGTGCCTTTTGAGAGGGTATTGTCAAAAGTACACAGAGTTTTATGTACAAAGCTATTCATCCTTTATGGACGGTAGCACAAAAAAAAAACCTGAGACTGGGGCTGGGGGTATAGTCAACATGTATTTAGCAGGTGCAGGGCTTGATCTTATGGGGAGGGGGGAGTGGAGAGGGAGAGGGAGGGGAGGAGAAGGGGGGGGAAGGAGAGGGAGAGGAAGAGGGAGAAAGAGAATCCAGTAGAGATAGACAGAGAACCAAAGAAGCACAAATAAGTTGAAATGTATGTGGGCACAACCAAGTCAGGACCTGCTTTCATAAGCCCATAGCATTTCTAGAATACCCAAAAGCTTAGTGGAAGGAGATGGTCAAAATTGTCATCAGGGATTTATGGAAGGTGTCTTATCTCCATAGAAATTATCATACAGATGAACTCTGACCCTACCTCTCACATTTGTATACTTTTATGAGAGGAGTGCATGGTACTCACCTTTCTAACCATTTCCACTGCAGAAAACGGTCGAAATACATGCTGTCCAGGTACTCATGGAAGGGGTCTCCCTTTAAGTAGTCATGGACAGACCTAGACCAGAGTAACAAAAAGAGGAACATGTTATAATTTCCACCTTGACAAAGCCAGACAGAGTCTAGTAGGTTACTGCCTTCAGAACTGCAAACAAGCCAGGCCTTGCAATGGATGCTCCATATCTGGCCAGAGGCCTGTTTGTTCTGTCAATGGTTGCTTAAACTAGACTGACCTTACAAGCATTCACTGTGTGCCTGCCATAGGCCAGCATTTGTTTCAAGTCCTGTAGCAAAGCAGGGAGTGTGGGATGGGTACTCAAATGGGGACATAATACAGTAAATCACAAAGATCAAGTCAACAATCCCAGAGATAAGCTATACTAAATTAGAACTCAGGAACAACTCTCTGAAGAGACCATGAGTTGAAGTGAGACTAGACGCAAACTTGCTGAGACAGAGGAGGGGCTAGAATTCAGAGGTGGGAAAGGACAGAGTGGGATATAGTCCCCAAGAAGCCAAGCTTTGGTTTGATGTAAAACCAAAACCACTATCTTTCAAGGAAGATAGGGATATGCCCAGGAAGGCATGATTTTCCTATGTAGGTAGGAGTCTGTCCAGGTAGGTAAGGGTCAGTCCAGGCAGGCAGAGATCTGTCCAAGTAGGCGTGATCTATCCAGGTAGACAGGGCTCTCCTAGATGGGAGGACCCTGATGATTGGAACACTTACTGAGCACAAGCAGAGAAGAGTTCCTTGCAGGGCCTCTGCAGGAGCTTCGCCTCTGTCTGGGAGACCAGGTCCTGACCAACTTGGGCAATGAAGACTGGGGACTGGAAGAAGGAAAGGATTGTTGTCAGTGAGGAAGAAGGAACAGGGTGGTTGGAGCTGCTTCATAGATGCAGGGTCAAAGACAATCCAGACGCCAGGTGATGGTAGAAATATGTAGATGCATGTCCCAGCATTTGACTACCTGCCCTCTGTCTGCCCCCCTAAACACACACACACACACACACACACACACACACCCCTACTATGCATGAACAATGTTTGTGTTTAGTGTGGATGGGAAGTTATAGAATGGATGGCAGTGAATAAATGCAGATTTAGTGTGAGATTCCTAGTCATATGACTTCATGGAGGTCACTTGGCATTTCAGAGTCTCCCTCCAGCAGCTTCACCCATCCCCTCTCTGCCATTCACCCTTGCCAGCTGCTCCCAGGACTTGACTCAGCAGCTGGACTTCAAGTGGGAGTTTAATAAATCATAGGGAAATTTTTAGAAAACTGCAAGGAATGAACTCCAAAAAAATTGCAATGTGAATTATGAATGGCTTGCTTTCTCTGTCAGCTACAGAGATGGAGCTGTAGGGCTGGGACACATGCTAAGGTCCATTAGGCAGTGCCTACAGGAAGTCGATCCTGGGGGTAGTCGGATAGAGAGGCAGCAGCTGGCATATCCCTACTGAATAAAGCAAGTGGGTGACTTTCTCTTCCACATGGTTTCACCTGCTGGAACCCATCCACTCTTTCCCAGACCTGCCCTCTGTGGGGGCTCATCTCCATTGGGGACTCTGTCCTCAGCTGGCTGGAGAGGTCCCAGTCCTGGTGGAGGTGGCCTGTGGTGTGGCTGCAAAGCCATTTTCACCAAGCTCTAGCTAGAGCACGTTTTCCACCATGAGCTGTCTTAGGTAATGGCAGTTCCCTCTGCTTCTGTGAACTTTGCCTGGTCCATTCCTGTCCTCTTCCCATTCTCTGCTCTAAGAACACCCAACTGTGTCCTGAAGAGAAGATGTTCACTCTCCTACTGGAGCCAAGGGCCTGTGATACTTTTAACCTCTGACCTTGCCGTCCTGTGGATTTATCTTTCTCTGGAAGGAGGGAGGTGCTCCAGAGATGAAGAAGGCCCCTTTGAACTTTGAGAATTCAGGAATTTTTAAAATTTCCCCCTAAGAAGTGGATAAATTTTGTTGAATGATTCTGGCAATTTAGTCTCTTCAGAGCCAATAACTGCCAGCAATGAAATAGGAGGACAAGGCATTAGCTGTAGGCAAATTGGCCTCAGGAGAACCAGAGCTGGCTGGTAGGCCACCTGGATGGGGGAAGGGTGCTATGACTGGCAGACAGCAGCGCTCACTGCATAAGTGTCAATCATGAAGCTGACAGAACACCTTGTGTTGGGGTTTGATCTTGATCTAGTATGAGTCAGCAGAGATGGCACAGAGATGCTGAGTGTGAGAGCTGTGGGGTAGAAGGAAGCCATTTTTCAGCTTCACAGAGGAGGGGCCCCACTTGCCAAACTGTCTGTACTAGGCATCACAGTCTGTTTTTCACCTACACAAGACCAAGCTTATTCCTTATCAGCTTATTCCAACAGACAGCTAGCATGGGGTGGGTACAAGTGAAACAGGTAAATAAAGCCAGTGTGGTGGTAACCTCAAGTGTTTTTCTCCAGTTAGACATTTAAATGACAGGACACCCCACCAGAAAGTCAGTGCTCCTTGGGTACATATGGGAATTATACAAAAAGAACTAAACCAGAACTTGGTGGCCTTCAAATTTTCTTAGCCCCTGATTTTTCTTTACTAACAAATGAAATTTACTTAAAACACTGGAAAGCAATAAAAAAACAGTCTATAACAATGTTTTACATACAATAAAACCCAATCCTGGTCAATAATGAATGGAACACATGACACACATCACTATATTTAATACATACTGTGGCTCTGTGAGTCTACTATGTCATCCACATTGCAGAAGATGAAAGTTCAGAAAGGCTAAGTAATTTCCCCAAGATCATCTAGCCAAGTAATGACAGAGAAGAAATTTGAACCTAGGTTGGATTATTTTGGGTTGAGATGTGACTGGAAGTGATGGCCATCTGTTCCCCTCCCCTATCTGCTGCAGTAGAGAGCAAGACACTGTGAGGCCTGCCAGAAGCTTATGAGTTCACAGAAAGAAAAGACCAAAATGGGCTGGAGCCATCTGGAAAAGACTTTTGGAAAGATGAAGTCAGAGACAAAACAGTAGCTAGCCTGATGCCTCTTCATCCCTCTTCAGCCTTTACCTGTCAGGGCAACCAACTGGGTTCCCTTCTCAGGGACAACAGAGCTGCCATGAGTCTAGAGGTAACCCATCTGTGCACATGACATCGGGCAATTCTCATACTTGGGGGTGGCTGCCCACAGGCAAAGAGCCCTGGCAGGACAGCCACAGAATGGACAGATAATAATGTCTTCATTTAGTAACTATGGGTTTAAATTCAGCTTCTGGGTCAGCAAAAAGAGATTAAGTGATTCAAACCAAATCCTCTTTCTAGTGACTCCAGGGACTGAGTTTTTCCATGAAGAGACAAGTCTAGACTGGACCCTGAGCCTGCCAGAAAAGTTACACAGAAGACACCAGGTCAGCGCACCACTCTCCTCCTATGCTCCCCACTAGCTTTTCTGCCCTGTCCATTACTCTCCCTGAGCCTTCTAATTCTGTTCTTGTGGATCTTAGCAACTGCCAAAGTCTGCGTTTACCAGAAGATACCTCTCCAGGCAGAAAGAGAGAAAAAGAAAATCATGTAAGTGTTTTCCTAGGCACTGTCATGCAGAGAAAAAAAAAGTCCTCCGTGCTATTCTGAAGCAGTGCAGGCCCCTAACAATGGCTGGCCTTGTCCCTTCATTTCTGTCTGGGCCTCTTTCCTCCCTTTCGTCCTTTGGATATCCAGTCTGTGACCTTAAGCCTCAACATGCCAACTAGGTACAAAGCCACTGAAAAGCTCAAGTGTAGCACTGGTAGCCAGTCATGCATGACACAGGCACCACAGGACTTAGAATGTGTAGAGTATATGGTTGAGGTAGTGGTCTGGTTGGATGGAAGAGTTGGGGGGCCCTGAAGCTGTGTAGGTAAAGCAATGGATCTGGAGTAAGTGCATGCTTGGTTGGGAGTGGCTTGGTGGCTTCTATGTGGAAACTTGCAACCTTTCCCCATGCCAGTGTCCTGGGAACAGCACTGTGCAATGCTTGGCCCTCCAGAGTCCTGCCTATGGTGTCACAGAGCCTTCAGTTGTTAACACAGAAATAAGCCTAGAAATTTGGGAAACTGAGGCAGACTGAGGAAGGCAGAAAGAGAGGCATGAGTCTGTCCCGGGATAAGGCTACCAGCTGAAACTTTATTCAGCAGTCAACCAGGAAGCATGTGTAGATCGCCCCGACACCCAAGGCCTCTGATGATGATAACACCCTTACAGTTGGAGAGATGGATCCAAACCCAAGGGCAGCTAGCAGGCCACACAGCGTTTGCCAATCCAGCCAAGGCCATCAGTCCAGCAGTTGATCCACAAGGTGGCACTATTGAGCCCCTCCAGAACTGCTTCCCAATGAGAAGGAGGCCAGGACACACCACAAGGCCAGCCTTCTGTTCTAATGTGTGGGGAGGCCAGAGGAGCACACAGTCACCCTTGATCACTTTCACCCCAACTGTGAAAGGGAAGGATAAACTAATCAATTTGGAAAGGGAACCTTGAATGGTTTAAGATAAGAGCTGGAGCTCAAGGGAGACAGAGGATGTAGGTATGAAGAGGGAGGGAATGCATGGTGAAGACCGGAGGCTACACAGTAAGACCAATCTAGAAAATGTAGACACAGAAAAAGAATGGTAGGCAGGTGGAGACCGCAGAGTCAGGAGCCTGCAGAGGAAGTGGAGCCAGTGATGACCTCAATGGATCTGCTCTCCTGAGCACTAAACCTAGAGACCCAGAGCAACAGAAAGAAGGAAAAGACTTTTTCATACCAGAAAAGGCCTGAATGTCTAGGGCTCTCATAACCAAAGCTTTGTCCCTGAATCAAAGTCTCATTTCAATAAGTTGAAGTGAAAAGGAAACCAGTTACACAAGGAGGTATCCTTGGATCTTCAGATTCCTCCACCCTCATGTCTCCTCAGTGGTCATCAATAGTCCTCTGCACCCTCTCAGAGCCACCTTGGTAATAAACACCCTACAAATGGGGTGAGATATTTAGAAAGAGCCCTTGAAGGAGGATCCCTTGGTGTTCACTCCTCAACCCATCATGGCACAGGTAGGAAACAGAGAAAATACCCCTAGTGTGCTTATAGTAGAGATAAAGGGCATCTGGGCCGGCTGTGGACATGAACCTCCTAAGTTCTGGCCCAGTTCCATGGGAAAGACAAAACTTTGACCTCATCAGTTCCATTCAAAACCAGGCCATCTGCATTTTACATCCCTAGCCACCTTAGTCCTAGGGTCTCTCCATCTCTGTCTCACCACTCTGCTTTCCAGAAGTCTCTCCCAGGAGGCCCCTCATAAATTCTTGCTAATCACTTGTCCCTTGGTTTGACATCATAACCCTCAAAGCCATCTTCCTATACATCACAATAGCTATGATCCTTGATACCTTCAGATAAAGTTATGAATCTTCTTAGAGCCGCCCCTCAAATATCCTTCCAGACCTGCTTCCCCTTTCTGGCCTCTCTCCCAACACCCTGGACATTTCCTGAGTGAGCCACTGGGCCCTTGCTTGCTCCCATGGACAGAAGCCTTCTAACCCATTGTGGTGCCCATGACCCAAGAGAGGCTTCAGGACCCACATCCAAAAAAGCCCTCTTAGCGACTAGGGCCTTCCACCTAACCTCACCTCCCAGTGGTAACTCCCATGATCATTGCCCTCATGGCAGTTGCATGATGAACACTTTATCACATGCCAGGTATAGGGGCTGTCCATAGTATGATCTTGTCTAACTCTCTCAAGGCAAGTTTTATTATTGACATCTCTAGTTTACAGCTACTGAAACAGCTCAGAACGTAAGCAATTTGCCTAAGGTCACAT